CCTTGCACAAAGATGTCCTACATTAATTTCTTTCTCATTGACTTATCGGATAACAAAAATCCTGCTGCCAGACATATTTTACAGTTATTATCAGATAATACGTCTTTCCTAATTAACCCTAAGAATATTTTGGAGTTCTGGTTATCCCTATTTTTTCTTATTGCTTAAAATTCCATTAAAATATATTGAAGTCTGACATTTAGGATTACGTGCCTTGCTCAGAGGGCATTTAATCCTCTACTACACGTAACAGCAGTAGAGGCTGGAACTACACCAACAACTTTCGATAACATTGGGAGCATTTGCAGTTTACTTTCTAGATTGGATTAAAATCACACATTTATGTACAAATGCTTGCGTCTCAAGATGTCTAAACTAATGAGTCTAACAGAAGACGCCACAGCCCACCTACCTGCTTTTAATGGAACGTCTCACATGCAATTGAAAGATCGACAAAAAACCTTTATTCATTAATGCAGTAATGGATTTGTTTATTTGTTCAGCGAGGGGTAGCTGGAGTTGGCAAAACAACCTAGTACAAAGACATTTTAATATGGTAATTAATATGAACACTTCAAGAGCGATTCTGTCTTTTATTCAAAATCATTACATTAAAACTGACAATATGTTGGGAGAAACTAAATTCTGGATAAAAATAAAAAACAAAACCAAGATTCCATTCAGTTCCTCAGTAGCTGCATCCGACCAAAGGACCGCTGTAAGCCTCAGAGGTCATCGTGAAGGTCTGCCAACCTACTGCACAGTGATGAACCTGAGGCCATAAAGCTACCACACATATTTTATTTGCCTATTTAACCTTCTAATGCAGTTCTGGACCTAACTCTGGAGACTGGACGTCATGCGCACCTTGTGCCAGGTGTGCCGACCTCAGATGCTCAAAGAATACAACCACACATGCATCAGGATCCAAGTGCCATTACATCATCGTCCATCGCCATGAGGAACAAACATGAGTGCTGACCACTGGGAAACACGGGCTCATTACATCAGCAGCAGTAGCTCAGGGCAGACCATAAACACTGCGAGAAGGAAGTGGGCCATCTATGAGGCGATCACTGTTAATTCTTTGTAATGATGGAAGCGTAGACACTAGGTGATCGGCCAGGGACTGCTTGACGCGATGATGTGACACACACCTCTACAGACCTTCAGCTGTGCAAGCAACCAGGCCAGAAAGAAAGAAAGAAAGAAAAGGCTTCACGGAATATAAAAACCTGCAGCTCTGTTTCATAATTACAAGATTTTTATTATGTTTTCAGACCAAAAATTAAACTAAATCTTTTTAAAGCATAAACAAAACTGACTAAATGTCAAAGAGAATGACGTGGGTGTCTTGAGTAGGCAGCGGACCTTCTGTGCAAGATATGCTATTATGAATGAGTTTACCAGCCAGTTGAAAGATGAAGGATTAGAAAATCAATACTGCATTTAAAAAACGCACCCTTACATAAATGAAACAAAGGGGCCTGTTCGTTCTCTCTAATTGTAAATGCTGGTAATGCTGAGGACCGCCTACGATGAGAAAAGTACAACATACACAGTGAAAAGGTAACACAGACAAGGTAAGACTTTTTAACATGGATAAAAAAATAAAATTGGCTTTAGAATTTATTTCTTTTTACACAAGAAAAAAACTTCAAAGGAGAACCTTTCATGTATTTTAAATAAAACCCAGATCCCACCACTATGGACTCCTATAAACATACAGATTCATCACAGCTAACTAGATTATAATTGAAAATGTTTTTTTTTTTATATAACTGTTCTCAGAAGCTTTATTTAATGTGCTAAACTAGCATGTGTAGCATTGAACCAAAACTTTAACACATCTGCATTATTGGAGACAGACATGGTTTCATTACTTGTACCATTTTTTGTCTAAATTGAATAAGTTGGTGCACAAGAGATAAGCAGTAGGTTGTATTTGAGAGGAAGTGGATCTTTGGAGCTACCCTGTCAGAAAGAGTCAACTTCTAATGATACTTCTGGCTTTAAACTCTAAAGTCATTCCTTTAATATTTAATATATTGTTGAGAAATGTCCATTCTTAACAACACAGTTCAGTTGTGGGGTCCTTATTATATTCTAAACTGTATAAACTCCTGTAAATTCAAAAACCTGTATTGTTCTAGTTGATTCTGAAACAGGGCACTGTTGGGTTACAGCTGAATGTGAGATCATGACTTAAAACTGTTCACATTTTGTTGCGATCTAGCAACAACAACAACAAAAAACTAGACAGAGAAAGGGATTTAAAATCCTCATGTTTCGACACTAAAACCTTCCAGAACTCTCCTTATCTTTACATTCCTCCCTTGTTGCTTTGCCCCTCTCTGCCAGATTTCCTTAACAGGAATGACCTCCGCCTCAGAGCTGAGAATCCCAAATCCGCACCAGATTGGTCATTGACTCAGCAAAATTTCATCAAGTATTTTCCTTTGTTTTGCCTTCCTCTGCGTCATCTCAGTACAGTAAAACATCTGGAAACTGTACCTGCTTCCTCTCTGCGTAAGACAACATAAATATGAGAAATGACTGTAGCTGGTGAGATTTGTGGCTGGCAACCTCTGAAAAGTTCTTGATTTCTATAAAATATGCAATCTTTCTCACATCTTTGGTTCCCTCTAAAGATGTGAGCTGTCAGTTGTTAAAAAGCACAAACTGATCACAAGAAAGCAAGATTTTTTTTTGTTTGGGAGGCTTTTACTTCAGTTTAAACCAGCATTTAGAAAATTGTCAACCTGACTGCCTGGTGCAGTGTTTTATACAGTACTTCTCGGTCCTTTTACTGTCTCTGAAAAATCAAAGGAACATGAGGGAAGAAATTCTGAAGGGAGAAAATAAGAAGGAGGAAAAGAAGCAACGGGAGAACAAGGTACGAAGAAAGATGTAAGACAGGAAGTAAAAAAAGAAGAAAAATGAAAAATGAGAAAGGAGTACAAAGGGACGAAAGTACTGCAGGGAGGAAATAAGGAAATAAATAAGGACTTTTGGAACAGAGCCAGGAAATACCGATATTTTTCCAAACTAACCTGGAAAATATTGTAAACAAATTCCAGCATTTCTCAGACTCCTTAGAAACCCTGACTGCAGGAGGAAAGCAAGAGAAGCAATCTAACATACAAGCCTCCATAGTCTTAGCTCACTGTCGTTGGCATGCCAAGATACTAAAAATAAATAAAAAATACATATATATTCCAAAAGGTTTATCTGTATTATACCGTGCTGATTAATAAGACCAGATATGACCAAATCTAGAAAAAAAATTAGGTGATCTTAAAGAAAACCAGAGCAAAACAGGCATAGAGCTTTTGACTGAGCTCATCATCCCCTCCAGCTCTCACCTAACAGAGACCTCCTGTGATTTCCTGACACAGATTCAACACACACACACACACGCACACACACCTCAAAGCCCTCAATGACCATACAGAAACATGGTCATTGGAGAAATGGCTAAGTCCGGTTACAAAAAGAGGATTCCTAATGCCATTTTACCATTTTCGATTTCTGTGTACAAGTGGATGTGAGGAAAAAGGAGAAAAAAACACAACTTAAACTAACATCTTTCGCAACATCACATCTCTGCACTTTGTTGTGATCACATATTAAAACATATCAATCCAGGAAGAAGCAACTTAAGCATAAGGCAAGCATAATGCCGTAATAAAATGTAGTAGCTTACAGAAAAGGCATGTATGAAATTGTGCAACGGAATCAAATTTATGTTAATGCAACAGTGACTCCTTGTGGAAAATTGTTGCAATGTCAATTATAGAAAAGTAAAGCCGGGGCTTTTGAAACTTTGCAGTGCTGAACTTTGCAAAATCCTCTTCTGAGGTCACAGTTAGCATTGTTTATAAATTTTTAAGTACTGTGATCAAACCCATATAATAATGCCTTGCTGGGAGTTTTCTATTTGCATAATCATTTTCACTGTGTTCGCCCTTTCACAAAAACAATCCCCAAACTAAGTTGTTCTAGGAATAAGAACAACTTATTGTTAGCATTCGTTACCTCCAAAGACAAGTGCACAACTATAGTCAGTTGCAAAATGGTCTCAAACAGATTGGTACAAGGGGTTGTGCCGAGTAGTCAGCTTTTACAGCACTGGACTGGTGTGTTCAGGGAAATGTGCAGTGTTAGTTTTCCACCTCATCGATCATCCTCGGCATGTAAGAGTAAAGCTTGATTTCAGCAGAGCTCCTCCTTCCGGAGTGTGTGCCCTACCCGGATTGTAGCAAACAAAGGTTCCTATGGCTTTCTTTCAACAATCTTATTGCTTTCATTTGAAAAGATACACTTCCATGCATGTTTTCCCCGACTCTAGTTCTGGTCTTTACATGCTAGCTTATTGATAAAGCAAGTAAGGCAACAATAGTTTGCAAATAACTGATTTACAATAACTTGTTTATTATTGTTTGGAATTTTTTTTATTTTTTTTTTACCCTATTTAACATTATCAGAAATACTTGGTATGCAGTTGTATTAGAAACCTATGGCTGTTAAATATCAAAGTACACCAGCAAACATTCAACAAACACCAATGGCTGGGAAGGTTTTATGACCATATTTGTTCATAACGACAGAAAGTGAAACCATATAAATGATAAGGGACAGACATAATGACATAGAGTGTCATGGATTTCATCTTTAATTTGACAGCGGACAGAGGATAGGTGACAGGAATGACCGCGCGGGAAAGAAGCCTTGACGTCTGACACAGCCACCAAAACTCAAAGCAGGGGCGCAAGCAGTGCGAGGCCATCAATTATCCAGGGTGCATCTCAAAAATCAACGAGGTGTTCCAAATTCTGTCACTAAAACTTTTCTGCCATTACACATGTTTGTGCAAAAGGTTGGACCCACGGTTAAAAATGTCACTGACTGCAAAGTAGAATGCACACATCAAGTTCGTGCTTATCTTCTGTTTTTACGGTGAACTGCTATGAGGTCGGGACAGAACAAAAAACACCAACCCAGTATAAGGATGGAATCTTCTTTCTTGATGATTTTTTCCAGGAGGTGCTTGAAACTGGAGAAGCTGCCCAACCAATCATAGTGCTCCTCCGTCCGGTACCTGTCATCCCAGTAGGCGACGTCTTTGTAGCTGGAGTTTTTATCCGGCAGATACTCCATGTGGACTGCAATAAGACAAGAGAAACAACTTTTCACTCCAGACTATACCAAGAACATTTCTAAACCACATCACTGCTAAACCTAAATGGTTCTGCAAGGTGCTGAGGAGACAAATTATTTAAAGACAACAGTTTTATGATAAAAACTGATAAGAGTGAAACAGACACCAATAAATTATTGGACTGAAACATCTGTGGTTTTTATTAATGTGTCAAATTCACATAAACACCCAAGTCTATAGGGGTCACTTTCACTTCCACAGGGTTAGTATTTTTCTAATAATTATAATAATCATTTAATAGCCAACTGCAGATACCAGAGTGATTAAATAAAAGCTATTTGAATTTTATTAACAGAGTTGCGTTTTCAACCTCCAACACCAACATTTTCTTTTGTTATAATTTTAAAATAGGTGGCGGCAGTTTAACAAAATATTGACATTTTTAACTCCAATATCAAACAAGCAAGCTGTGGGAATTTCACCAAAACTTCCTGGTCACACAGCGCATGCGTGGCAGAAGCAGAGAAGCAGAAAGCAAGCAGCATTTCCTGCACGCGGATCACAACTGTTTGTTTGTTTTTTTTTAAGTCTACAATACAACATTACTTACGAGCAGTTGACTTTGAGCTGGACGTGATGAATTTGAAACCACTCGGCTCCCTCGGTTCCTCCGTCGAATCCGGAAAAATGTCCAAGCAGCGATGAATCCACGTGTTGTAGTTTGAGGTGTCCGGACACCGCGGGCTCATTTAGAGCAAGGACGAACCTGTAGCACCACAAAAGTCTAAAAAATTAACTTCAATCACATTCATCTCAACTGATACTTCTCTTTTTTTTTAATGCAGCTCATTTTTTCCCAAAGTCTCTGTAAAGTGAGTGTTTTGGAGGCGGAGCAACGTGAAACACGTGGGTGTCCGAGGCGTTCAAGTGCGGCTCGAAAAGTTGTGGAATCTAAGCGCTTCACTGCAACAAGCTGAGACAAGCCTAATATTTTTGTGGTTATATGTTTTTAAACATCATCATTAAACCCTAAGGGCTATGCTCCGTTCTTTTAGCATCACAAGTATAATAGTTAATAGAAAAGGGTCGTTTTGAAATGTATTTATTTCAGTAGCTATGAAGCTATGATAAGCAATAATGGCCTCAAAAAGAAGTAGCTGTCCTCAAAACCTGTGTGTGTCTGTAACGTTGCATAAAGCTCAAATTCAGCAGTTTTTTTTTTCAAAATAAATTACCATTTAACACAGGTGGCAAACATATCCCTCCTATAATTTGCATGAGAAATATCTCTGCATCTCATATTTACTTGATGGATCAAGTAAAATAAACATCACAAGCAGGCTGCAAACCAATACCATCTGCTGGATCTACGTAGACTGATATCCTAAAATGTTCTGTGTCACATTAGCTGCCAAAAACAAAAGCTTGCTGGTCTGTTATGCTTTGTCTCATCCCTGTTGTGGGAAACTGTCTGAATATCCTCCTCAAAGAGCTGGGAGCAGCTGCAGATGGCCACGGTTTTAAAAGCACATCGAAAACTTGTCAGTCTGGTTTTTAATTGCGTTTCATTGGTTACTCACTATTTAATAGGTCATTTTGTTTTATTAGGACAATTTTTATGCTTATTGAAACTTGCTATTGTTTTAGATTATATAAATGTTGATCTTTTACATTTTTTGTTTTCAAACATTTGTAATTTGTGGATAGGTTATAGAAATGTATTTGTTTCTAAATTGTCATATGAGCTCTCTGTCTCATATTAAAAAAAATCTTGTATCACAAATTGTACAAACATATTCCAGTTTTTGACATAAATAAAGCTACAACTTTCTTTTCTGTAGACCTGGATCAGGTCTACAGAAAATTTGCAATTTGTGTGGAACTGGTTCATTTTAGGCTGTTTTGAGAAAGAAAACAACTCTTTTGAATTTTATTTGTATGATTTTCTCAAGGAAAAGGATTAGTACAATCTGACTTCTTTCCTCACAATTCTGTGAAAGTCATAATTCTTTTCACTTTTATTTTAGTGATCCTAATCCCCATAGGTTATCTTTACTATTACACGTACAAGCTTAACTCAGCCAGGATGTATCGGAAAATGATGTAGCCTACAATATTTATTCGGGAAAATGCCTCAAAGTACAAGAGTAATGCCACATCCTTCCTGCAGGTGGCAATATCACATTACCATTTATATGTTTCCTTTGGTTTTCTTCTGAAAGAAAGGTTGACTGACTTCAACCGGCATCTTGCATAAGACAAGTTATGTTTTTGTCTAAAACATTTAGAGGTGCTAACGCTTCTTTGCATTGAAACCATTAACAGCATGCGCATTATTTAAAGACTTGATTTTGCAGATATTTTAAGTCTGTACAAAATGCCCAACCATGATTTTTTTCTCTTCAGGCAGAACTGGCAACAACAACAAAAAAGCGTAGCTTTGTACTACATGCAGAAACGAAGGAAGTCCTCAGCGTGTTTACGGAAGGATATTGCTATCACGGAGGAAAAACTCCTAATTCTTTGAGAATTAAGAGCTTGGGATGTTGTTTTGAACATAACCCTGTTTTTAAGGTCTCAGTAACTTCATCCCTTACTGCTAGATGTATACTGAACTTAAATTGCAACAAAAGGACTTCAAGCTGCCTAATGGAGTGAAAAAATGGGTTAAGTAAACTCTTCTCAAGGTTAATATGATGTAAAAAAATATATATGACTGCACCAATGGTTAAAAGAAAATATTTCTATTGTCCTTACTAGTCTCTAAAAGTGGCCTGAAAAGTACAAATTTTAATAGGGAGCACAAAGGAAACTTAAGAAATAAAATGCTAAATGATTGGGAGAGTGAAACTGATCTCAAGGATAAAACGATCCGAGTTTTCTTGAGATACTTAGATGGAAGGAAATGTGAGTCTGGTGTTCTCCAGGTTGTCCCACGAGGCATTCCAGCTGCTAGACAGACAGATCAGCCCTCACACCTTCATACTGTAGCCTACTTTAAGCGCCGCATCGATGTTATGTAACCTTCAGCTAAACCGCAATGTTCGATCTGCTAATCGAAGAAAGTTGTTTCAAAGATCGTGTGCTCGAGCGCGTGAGAATCGTCTGAAGTGGAGACGGACAGCGAGGATGCGCGGCTCCGACTGCGAGTCCGGTCACACCGAGGGGATCCGACGGGAGGTGCGGGGAGGAACTGGTCTCCCGATCCTCTGCAGAGTGGGAGCACTATCACAGACCACGTGAGAGGGATGTTCAGACGGTCCCCCGACAGACCGACACCGGCTCATCTCTTCTGCTCCTGCTGCCTGCTGACATGGGCTCAGCTTCCCGGAGTCAGGCGTGGAGGGAGGAGAGCGACTCTCTGTCTGAATGTAACCTCTGATCTTTCATCACTCTTTTCTTTCTTTTAACATTTTTTTTTCTTTCTTTCTTTCTTTTTCTTGGGTGACGGGAGCAGTAGAGTAAATGCTATGGCTTGGCCGTGCATCACCAGAGTGTGCTGTCTGGCTCGATTCTGGAACCAGTTCGACAAGTCGGACCTCTCGGTCCCGCTGACCATTCAGAACTACTCGGACATCGCGGAACAGGAGGTGCGCTCCGTCACCAAGCAGCTCTCCGACTCGGAGAACAGCTTCGCCGCCCCAAGAGGCTCCCCCCATGCGCCCGCAGACGGACCCCGAGGTCCCTCCAGGGCACGAAGGGAGCCCAGCTACAAGCCCCGGGAGGACTACCACCCGCCCGGCGTGCCGTTCCCCAGCGTCACTCAGTACAAGCAGGATTTCAAACCCTGGCCCATTCCCAGGAAGGACAACTTCCCCTGGATCAGTAACGGGGGCGGCAGGGGGGACGGCGCTTCGGACAGCAGCCAGGTGAACAGTTACCACCTCCAGGCGCAGGTTGGGGAGAGGCGGGGGGACAGGCTGGAGCAGCAGGTGACGGAGGAGAGCAAGACCAGCTCCTACAGGTACGTGCTTTCTGCTTGTTCAGCACCAGGCGCTGTCCAGTCCGTCACCGTCCCAGCGAGGAAAGCCGTGTGCTGATGCCTGCTTTCATGCCTAACGAGGTTCAGTTTATTTATAGCCGAGCGAAATCCGTGCTGGAACTCAGAGAGCAGGAGAGAGGGAGAAGAGCTGATCATCAATAATGCTCCTGGAGGCGCTCCAGATGAAAGAAATGAGTGTTTAATTTATATTTGCATTTTTATTGCAGGAATGAACTCCCAGAAAAACAGGTTACTCAACACACAATGCCAATACCAATCACTATGATGTCATCTAAGTATATTTCCTACAGCTCTGTGCAGCACAAAGAGATACTAAAGATTTCAAGCAGATCCTCACTAACATCCTACAACAGAGCAACCAACAAAACAGTTCAAAACACTTGGCAAAAGAAGCTAAAATACTGCAGGAGATACTTAACCTGCCAAAGCAGATTGTGAACATTTACTACTGCTTAAATATTCCATCAGAGAAAGTTGCAGGTTTTAAAGGCCTTGTGGATCAACTGGATCTACAAGGCCTACAAAGAACTTTGTAAACAAGTAAACTGATCTTAAGATGGAAGACTTTAAAACTGGTGTGATGTAGTTTCTCTTTCTGGTTTTTGATAACATTCTTCTGGCTGCGTTTCGAAGCAGAAAATATGCAATTTCAACATCAAGCCTGCCATGATAACTCCTGCCTATTGATCCATTTCTCTTTCTCCAGGCAAGAGTACAGGCCATGGACAGGGGCGAAGCCAGCCAGGAGTGCGAGGAGAAACCCCACAGCTCAATATTCCAGCCCAGGGACGGAGGCTACCCACATCCCACGTGAGACCAGTTATCAGGCCGCCTACAGCGGGGAGGTCAACAGGGCCATGAGCGGGCAAAAGGCTGATCTCATCCCTCCATCTGCTGCCTCCAACATCCAGCCTCCGTCCGTCACGCAGCACAACCTGGCTGCCACGCGAGCCGGCAGCTCCCTCAGCCCGTCCAGCCTCCAGCAAAGCATCCTGCCAGAGACCACCGAGCACAGCGGAACAGCCAAGAGAGAGGTAGGCGTGCGTTTTCACAGAGCTTCATTTGCACAGGTGGAAAACCGCAGCACGCCCCTACAGAAAGTCATCCTCACACCTCTCCCAGGCGCCGTCTCGCTGCTGGGGCATCTCAGAAAAGTGATACTGCGTTCTGTCCCAGAACGGCTCAAAGTGACCCAGCTGTTTTAAAACAGGCCATGTTAGGTAACACTGCTGGTGCTTTGCTCATCACTGTGACCTGAATAGAACGGGGATGATGGGGAAGGAAATGAGTGTAACTTCCCAATGTGGTCCGGATTAGCAGCAAAATCATCTACATCCAATAATTATTTATAATTACAGCTGCAACAACCAACTTAATACCTTCATCTCTGGTTTCAGTTGACATAAGCTCTTCAAACTGGACATTTTTAAGACTCTCAGTTTTGGGGAGTGCATCAAAAATTGGGAAGAAAATGTATGTACTTAGTATATTTTATGTGATCATTTCAACTCCATGCATAGTTAATCTTTCACTGGTTGCCATGTGACCCGCCATTCACTAGCTCACATTCTTAAAGCAAGTTATAACTGTTTATCACTATTTTATCACTGTTTATGAACTGTAATAAAATATGTTATGCTATGTGAGTGAATGGGACATGTCTTTATGACCCACACGCATCACATGCAAGTGAATGGATAAATGACAAAACATAGTTTGGAATATAAAAGCAATTTTGTTGACAGCAAAGTCATCAGCTCTCGATGAGACGTCGAGTTCCTCTAAACAAGAAATCACGGTGCAAGCACTTCCGCTAGGTTAGGAGCGCTCAATTTTTCTATGGAGACTTTCACCGTTCTTTGTCTCCAGTCTCTCACTCATCCTGTCAGCAGAAGGTTTTTCAACCAAAATGCTCGTCATCAGGCACGTGTTGGTCACTTCCACCTTCAGCCATTTAAAAAAAATTCAGCACAGGTGTTTAGCAAAGCACTTCCACATGAAGTGCTTTGCTAAACACTTCAACATATAGTAGCAATTACAACTTATCAGAGTTGTTTTGTTGGGACTTTGTGTTACAGACTAACACAAACTAGTTCAGAGTTATCAAGTGGAAATACATTTTTGTTTCTTCAAGTTTTTGTTTCACAAATAGAAATTTGAAAAATGTGCATTGGTTTCCTGCCACCGTCAGCCCGATAAACCTAGGAACAAAAATCCAAAGCAACCCTTTACCTTCATAAGTCCCTCAGATCTCAATTTTCCACAGGAGAATCTGATGACTGCATATTTATTAATTATGCACGAGTCTATGTATAAGACAGAAACGGTGGCTCAACAAATTCGATCAACACATTTGTTAGACTGGTCCAGTCAAAGTCCAGACCTAAATTTGATTGAAAATGTACAACAATAACAAAAAAATTCATGGAGAAAGGAGTTTGAGTTTACAATGTCAAAAGCTATTAGAATAATTAGAATAGAAACATAAAGTAAGTGCCGAAGTGGAGGACTCACTAATTTAGTTCAGTTCAGCACAAACAAGGAGAGGAGACGCCTCCCTGGCTCTATATCTGCTGCTGCCCTGCATGTCGTCTCTGTTCAGCGTGTTTCTGGACGGTTCGTGAGGCGGTTTATGGGAATCTCCAGAGGCTTAGTGCCATCCCTCTTCCCTACCCACAGAGCTGCACCCCATCTGCCAACATTCAGTCTAGTCGCGCTGACCTGGACCGGGTCAGGTAGTCTGCCTGTACGCCTGGCAACATCTGCTTCATTAAGCTAAAGGGTATTAGGAAATGTAAAGCTTGGAAATGTTTTTTTTTCTACATTAAAAAAAAAAGAAACAGAAAAAGCAAAACATTTTTCTCGTGTCCTCTGGGTTTGTCCTCATGTTCCGTGCTGTGAAAAAAAAAAACATATTTAATCCACGGGAGTGTATTAAGACCACCTTCTGCTTATTTGCATGATTTTTCCAAGCCATGTCTGCTCTGTTAAAGCGTTTTGCCTCTCAGCGACCTGAGTCTGATGAGCGTGGAGGTCAAAGCTGGAGATGTCAATGACAGGACAGAGACTCTAAAAATAATTCTGACCCAGTTCCAGTGAGATCACAGCCCATACAGTAAAGGACATTGGTGCTGCTGGCGGTGTGTTGGAGCGCCGCAGTGGAGACTTTTCCACACAGAACGCACGTTGTGTGTTTATTCATCTGACAGCGACAAAAACGACAGCAAACAAAAACTGGCCTGGTGGCAAATCAAGTTGATCTCAGATAATCCACAGCAGCCCACTCAGTGCCAACTCATTACTGACTCACCAGCCCCCTGCAGAGGTGTCTGACCGAGCATTACACATCCCACTCCAGCATGCATTACACTCTGGCTGCACTGGTCCGTGAGGGGATTCTCCAATCTTTATGGTGTTCTGTGAAATGCAGGCATTCATCAAGCTGTTTCAATGTGGTTGAACCGACCGACTGCGAATGCAAAGCTCTAATAGGCTCTTTTCATCATTAAAACTATTTAAATGATGGAAGAGTTTTATTTTATTTATTTATTTTTTAATCAGATAAGTAACAACATAACTCCCAAGATTCTCAAAGAGAGGTTGTTGGAAACCCAAAGGAAAGGTGAACTGAAAACACAGCTGATGCAGGTGATAGGATTGTGAGCAAAAGGCGTGTAATCTGCACGACAAAACGTCTGACTCAGGGGAATTTTGGAAATGCAGCCAAAATTAAAGACAAACATCTCGGCAGAGATCAATTCCTGTCTGCTTCCCAGTCTGCTGAGAGGCAGTACGCCCCCCACCCGCCCAAACCAACCCCTGAAGACTTAAAGCTGAGCTCATGTGACTGCGCAGTGATCTCCGATGCACAACAAGATTGATGATGGAAATGTTGCTCACAGTGGTTTTAAACGGCACAAAGAGGATTAGATGGCCTGCCGGAACAATGCATTCTGAAATCCACCTCCTTTCACCCACTCCTCTGTTTCGCTCCAGTTAGCTGGGGCGAGGACGGCACGGGGGCGGCACAGCGCCTGAGCTGGGATCGATCCACCACAGCAGGCGAATCTGCTTTACAAAGTCACTTCTAATCAGTTTAAAATGATTAACACATCACGCAATGAAAAAAATAAAAAATACAATACAGCTTGCTTGTCCTATGCTGTTTTGTATCTTTTCCTTCTCTTGTTCATTAGTGGACGAAATCGGAATGTTTTGTTTTGCAGATCACACCAAAGAAAGTCATGTAACTTCACTGTGTCTCTATAACGCTGTTCAAAAGGTTTGTTTGACTCTTTATGAAGAGCTGTTTTGTTTTTTGTTTTTACCAAAATTGTTCATTTTGCTGTTTTAAACATTCTCTCACAGTGTTTGTTCCATGAGAGGATTAACAAGTGTTGATATATTTGAACTTATCATATTTTTCAACCTACAGTTTAATGCACTTATTTTGTGCTACTTAATGTAACTTCCATATTGAAGAAGCAGTTTAGTTTATTTGCTAAACCACTTATTTTAGCAAAAGACTTGCTAAAGTAGCCTCACATACAAAAGTGTTTTTGTATGTGAGGTTTTGGTCGCATGCAGCGACATGTACGGTCTAAAAGCCTGCGATGTGTTTGAAGTGAAATTTAAAAGTAAAATTGATGATCAATTTTACTTTTAAAATATTAAGGTTAAATTTCAATTACTCATCCCTAATGGACTTGACCTTTAAACTGACAACGGGTCTTTGAGTCCCGCAGGATAAATATGTGAGCAATTCAACACGGAAATAGTTTCATCATCACACTAAATCATTGTGTCCAAATTAAAATGTCGCATTATGCTACTGCAATGACAAATTCATGTACTTTAAGGCTGCTTGCAAATCTTTAGAAGGGTTGCCATGATTTTCAGAACATTTCTATAAATTGCCTGGTGGATCTACTGTCAGAATGTGAGAAAAAAACACATAGGGTCAGAGATGAGATACTCTGTGTGAAGTGAAGGCTTTTTGCTGGCAAAATAAACATCCACAAGATGACACAGCAGAGGGAGGGAATGCAAAACACAGTCCTTTCATGCTGTGCTCCAGTTATCGTCCTCATTCTCCTGCTTTCCACTCCGTCCCACTGCCAAACTTTCTTTCCTCCCCGTTTGTCTCCATCTCGTCCTGTTCTTTCACTTGGACCTCATCCCCGTTCCCACGCTGCTACCAGCTCCACAAAGGGACAAGAGGGAGGGCTTGGTGCCAAGTTGGCAGGTTTCTCTAAGGCTGGGAAAGCAGCACTGTGTTATAAGAGCAGGGGTTGAGGGAGTAAAAGGAAGGAAGGCGGGGAGACGATAAAAAATATAAGATGTGCGGACGGAGATGCATCGTGTGATTGATAAGTGACAGGGAAACATAAAAGGAGTGGAAAGGGGGCTGGGAAACAGAGTGCATCGTTTGATGGATTATCTGTTAAAGTGCATCGGGTTGCAGTCTTGTTCAGCACCAATCTAATTTAGGAGAGAGGCAGAGCAGAATACAGCAAGTGTGTGTGTGTGTGTGTGTGTGTGTGTGTGTGTGTGTGTGCGTGCGGCGTGCGTGCGTGCGTGCGTGCGTGCGTGTGTGTGTGTGTGTGTGTGTGTGGTGGGTGGGGAGTGAATTCAGACTCAACAATCCGGCTTACTAAACAACGCGATCAGCTTTCCCTGCCTCCTACGGTGCTGGGGAATCACATCCAAAGAGGTTATGAGATGATAAGCACCTAAGGATGTTGCTTGCTTTAAATTTTCTTTATGTAGTTAATGAAGAATCATGCATATTAATTAACACAAGCATTTTCATCCATTATGTAAATGTGCCAGATTTAGCCACAAAGGCGAAAAATTTCATCTGCAGATTATTTTGATGATGTCATACCATGCTGGAGCGAATGGTTTTTACAGAGAATGGAAGGTCACAGGGGAGTGTGAAAAAAATTATGATTCCCCAGAAACAGAAAAGAATTGAGAAACAGAAAAGAATTGAGGTTCTTAAGCCTTTGGACAAGCTGAGGAGAGCAGCACTAAGTTGGAGAAAGTAACACAATCACTCCTGCTCTACGCTGACAGCAGAGCTGATGCTCTGCGACGGCACTGTCCTGCCAGTCTCCTTTCATTTCATGGGATCAGTGCCACAGCTGCCGCTTCTCCTCTCCATCACCATCACTTTGACCTCCTGAAAAAAGCTGCTGTGCTTCATCTCTCGATCTCCTCCATCTCTCACTCAGGAGCATCTTGTGAGGACCAAACTGCCCCCGAACCCTTCTGCCGTCTTTCAAAGCGGATCGAGGGTCTTCAACATCTGACAGCTGCTGGGACTCTTCACCCTCCCCACCCCCCACAGTCCATTCCACAACACAAGAATCTATGCAAAGGAATGTTGTTGTTGTGAACACTGTTGAGCAGCTGCTCATTATCCCAGGTAAAGAGAGATAAACCACTCTTTTTGATACTCCTCCAGGCTCCTTGTTCCTACAAATGAAGACGCATGTGACAGAATAGTCTAGAAACAAACTCTTTCTTTTTCTTTTTTTTTTCTTTTTTGTTTTGGTTGTAGATGCACAAGAACCTGGCTGCTCTGTATGTCTGTGTTTGTGTGCCTGCTCTTTTGTCTCTGATGTACATAATGTTGGCTCCGCACCTGTAGTCCAGGATATGATTTATCATAAGGTGTGTTTGCTTAGAGTGTGCTATGCTGCCCTTTGAGGTCTCTAGAAATCTGCCTGAAAATAATTTATTACCTTTACATTCAGTTCATGTTTGAAGAAATTATTGTTTAGTCGAATTTTTTTTTGATAAAGATCTTGTCAAAGAGAAACAGCAATTAAAGGATCTAAAAAGTTGAATTACAATAAAATATTGTTTATTAGGCTTGTTTCACTTTTCAGTCGGATTTTGTTCAACTCTGTGTGACGTCATTGCCTGTATTTAGTCACTTTATTTATTTAATAGTAGGAAAGTTTATTTATTTAACAAGTAGTAAATACTTATTCCAGATTAAGTTCATCTGCACATTATCTGGACTAGGGTTAGGAGTAGGTTTACAGGCACTGCCATATTTCCATTCAATGAGGATTTTTTAAAATTAATTTATTTTTTTACCAATTTACAGTGGGTAAATTTTGCAAACGTGAAAATCAAACGTATACTTTGTGGCAATTCTTCACCAGAAAACGTGCTCATCTCTTAGCAACAGATTAACAACAAATATTGTCATTGTAAAAAAAACATAAAATTTCTTTTGCTCTTTTGAAATTCTTCTTATCATATACATTACGACAAAAACAGCAAAAAAGTGATTTTTTTTTTTGTCATTGGTTATAAATACATCATCAGACATTCAACACAAAGTAAAAATCTGATTTATACTTCGTTGCCAGAAAAAAGGACTAATCTCTTAACACTGAATTAATAATATCATTGTTTATAAGCTCTTTTGAAATACTATTTATCTGACACAAGAAATTAACAGTTGGTAAATGTTGCAAAAGTAAAAATCTGATGTTTACTACACGGCACTTTCTTACCAGAAACACTCTCATCTCTTTGCAACAGATTAACAACAAATATTGTTATTGTTCCAAAAACATAAGATTTCTTCTGCTGTTTTGAAATACAACTTATCTTATACTACTTAGTACTTAACAAGAATTGTGCATTTGGTTAATTTGACAAAAAAGTTAAAATGTTCTTTTTTTTTTTGTCATTGGTGGTAAATACTTAGCAAAAATACAAATCTTAAACAATAGAAAAATGCATTGGGACTGAGAACATACTTTTAAGCAAAAGAAAACTGTAAAAAAAAAAAAAAAAGCACAGCCATTAAATCCAAGCTCAACTAAAATAACAGATAAATTAACAAGTTTATCCGAGATGAAACAATTTTGTGAATATTTTGGTTTCCCTCTAATGTTTCCGTCCTGCACACAGAGATCAAACTGACTTAAATGATTCGTTAAAACATAATTTGAGTGATTTTCCGATTATCTGCTGAAAAGAAAATGAACTTAAAGACTTTTACAATCGCAAGCTCAGTAATAACTCTGCAAAAAGTAAACGAGACTCCTGTCACAACTGAATAAAGGCAGCATGACAGGTGTGGAGGCTGTTTGCGAATGTATTTGTAGCATTCCTTCTCCTCAGCCAGAAATAAATCTTGTGATCGCATTTAAAAATTTCACCTGAAAAGCAGCCAAATAAAAAAAAAAAAAGAAGGATGTTACATTAGTTATTCCACTGGTTGCCTAGGCAATTGTTATATCAGAGCCACTTCTTTGTAAGAAGTACCATAAGTGATTTATGTGGTCTGCACACAGCAGAGCAGCTCTCACTGTATGTGAAGTCAAAATCTCATTGGAGAGCATTGAGCTTTGATTCTTGTTCATTTGAGCTGATGGTTACGTCATCGTCCCACACTGGAGAGAGAACGTTTCTAAAAGTCCCCCAAATCATTTTCAGAGTAATTTTCTCAAAATGATATTGTTGAGGGCTGCATATTCACTTCTCACTTATTAGTCACCCTTGCTTTGTTCAGTAAGATGCTTACAGCTCATCACAAGACACACAAACCAAAACACATCACACAAAATCTAGACTTCAAGAAATACTTTAGTTTATTATAAGAATATTGATCATATTTTTGGTTTGCAAAGGAAAAAAAATACATTACAGTGTTTAGGTATCTTGCACACTAATTTCATTTGGTTAAACAGGCATTATAACCCATCAAGTCATAACGTTTGCTTATCCAGTCATACAAAGCTCAGTAAAACACGCCTATTTGTATAAAATGACAATCACATAACAGTACTCACCATTAATTTCATTTACACCAGGACAACACACACACACCACTGTTGGGATTTAAATATTAAAATGTTGATGCTAGAGAAGAAAAAAAAACAAAAAAAAGAACACTTTAGGAACTTAGAATTGACTGACTGCTTATGCACACCAGTCAGCCAGGCCATGAAAACCATCAGACTAATTATTTTAGGTCGTTAATGACGAGGTATGCCTAATTCCACATTCCTTTATCGTCACCTCTGCTCAACAACCAAAAGTAAAAAAGAAAGGAAGAATTGTAGGTTAACTGGGTGACCCGTAGTAATTGCCACCTCTTAGTAGTTTTACTTTTGTGGCTGACTGGTGTGCGTCATACACACCATGATGGATATGACAACAGCTGTTGAACAGAACGCTTAAAAACAGGTTGCAAAACCTTATGTGTGAATTACCATCAAGTCACAACAACAATCATTCATTTAGTGTCCAAGGTCAGACATAACAGGCTTCAAAAACATATGTTAAAATCCTTAGCAAACAGTGAATTTCTGTATTTTACTGCTGCAATATTCATAATTACTTGTGCTGGTTGGGTAACACTGAAATGCATTAAAAAGATACTGAATTTCTGATGACGATGATGATCGCTGGTTGCAACACCTTTGGGAGAACCTCTCAGGTTGAAAGTGCGTACAAACAGAACGTCATCAGAGCTCCTAAACTGCAGCTGAAAAGGCGCAACAAAACCAAAGCGAGCCGACAGGAAGCCAGAGAGGACAGCAGTCTGACACCAATGACAATTCACACCGGGTTTATTTCTCTCACGACGACCCCTCCTCGGCGCAAACACTTCATCACTGAAATGATGTTATGAGGTATGAGAGAGCGCGACAGCGAGGCTAAATTAAATAACACAAGCAGCATGATGTGGCTTCTTTCCAAACAGAATTAAAAGGTGACAATACAAAGTATTAAAGACATTAGTTACTCTGCAGCTGAGCGTCAGCACTGAGGAGCAAGTTGAGCCCTTCTGTCATTTAGTCCAGAAACTGAGGGCTGCAACTGTTGCTGTGCCTCCTCAGGCAACACAACTGCATTTGGACGCCGATATTCACAACAAGAGAGGCGCCTCTTCGTCATGGCTCGTGGTTCCGACTGTCCCATCCCCCGTCCCATCCAAGCATGTCTGCTTAAAAGCCGAACTCCAGTCATCTGTCCTCAGTTGTCCTTTGTCAGGTAACCCATGTGTGCGTTAGTGAGGAAGTCACAGGTGGGGATGCTACTGACTGCTTGGTGGATGTTCATGGCGGTGATCTCCCTCGGCGCCCTGAAACCCAAACGGCTTCATGTAAGGATTTTATGTGAAACTCAAAACTATGAAAAACTAGTTGACCTCTGATTAATATCTCATTTTTAGTGTGTAGTGCAAAACAAACCCAGCATTCCACAAACTAGTACGGATTATTTAATTCAACTATAGCACAAGCAAAATCTGATGAATGCAGTGTATATAATGACTTATTGTTTGTCTGCACCAACTTTGCAAATGAAAAACAATGAATTCCTTCTTATGACTGAGTCATCTTGCTATATTAAAATAAGCATATGATTGGAGCAACCTGCCAACCCAGATAAGCTCTAGATGTAATGAATACAGTTAGAAGTGGAGCATTACGAAGCAATCACAGAAAAAAGCTGACCTGTTTGGAGGAGATTTAGCGTGAGCCCCTGCCAGAGCTTCTCTCAGGATGTCGCTGGCAAACTGCTCTGTCGCCTGACACACACACAAACACACACACAGTCATAATTAGATACAAAGAATCCAACTGACCATCAAAGTATAAAGAAAATAACTCAAAGTTTATATTTTGCAGTGTGAAAAAATATTTCACTCTTGCACTGAAATGTTGAAAATTCTTTAGCTAAATCTCATCTCAAAAATAATCAGCGTTAATACAAAAAATAACTTAAATAGTGATTTCTAATACAATAGGGATGACAGTGGTGGGAGCTGAACCGCTCAAATTGAACCTGTCCAACAACATGAAGTAGGCTAAAAGATCTGAAAAAGCAACACATTGAGTTAAATCTAGAGACAGTTAGAAATAACTGACAAAACGTCATTGATTTCTAAATCATTCTACAAAATGATTGTAGAATGAGAGCTTTCCTTTAGAGCCTTACTGACCTTCAAAATCATTGCTTCGATTACTGGAGCAAACACACTCTTCTCCACTTCCACAGGCTGAAACAATACCCCGATCTGAAGGAGACAATTAGACATTGCGAGGTTTCCCAAAAAGTAAACAAAACTGGTGAGCTTCATAAACTTTGAGTACTGCCCCAAACCTGCTGGGCCGTTTCGCTGACGAACTGGGAGGATATGCAGGGGCCGAGGAAAAACTTTGGCTCCACATCAGTTTCCTGCTCCTCCTCTTTGACCTTCAGCTTCTGGCAGGGAGGAGTCACCGTGACAATGTCGACTATTTCATCATCTTCCTCTTCGGGTTCTGTCTTCAGCAAGGCTTGCATCTGCTCCAGCCGCAGCAGCAGCTCGTCGTAACTGCTGAGGGTCGAAGGGCACTCTGTGGAAACATATGAGCGTTTAGGAAATGGGTTGTTTTTTTGATAAGTTCAGCATTGAGATAGTTGAATAATTGAAATATCCCAGTCATTCACACCACAAAGTGAGACAAAAATAACAAAAGGCTCATTAACATGCTGTCTGGCCAAGCATGTGACTCACTGAGCTAAGCAGCTTCGTCTCTCACCCTTTAGAGACAAAAGATGGAATAAGTGAGATCTCCTCTTCAATAGAATTACAGATAAAGCAAAAGAAGAAGACCACTCACACTGACCGCCTTCACACACAACAAACCAGCAAACATATCACTGTATCAAGTGCTAACTGCAGAAGAAATACACCCACGCAGTCAATACTGCACAGGAAACAGTCACCCACTGAAAGCAGTGGAATGAAATCACTAAACCAGAACCAGAAGATCCTTCTTTAAAAGATGTCCAGCAAAATGTCCACAAGCAGAGGCAGAAACCTACCAGGTTCATTATCGATTTGCGTGAGAA